CCCCCCCGCACCCCGCTCTCCCCGCAGGACTCGCTGGGACGTGGCCTCCGCACCTGCTACCGCTACCTCAACCAGACCAGCCGCAGCTTCGCCGCCGTCATCCAGGCCCTGGACGGAGAGCTGCGGTGAGCCGGAGGGGCTGGGGAGACCCGGGTGTCTGGACGGGGTGGGTGATGTGCCCTCCCCATGCCGGGGCTTCCCGGGAGGTGGTGGGTGCCCCCATGCTGGAGCTCTCCCGGGAATGGTGGGTGCAGCTTCTCCCCAACGCCGGGGCTTCCTGGGAGGTGGTGGGTGCAATGGTCCCAGACAGAGCTGGCCTGACATAGAATCATAGAATCACAGAATGGTTTTGGGGGGAAGGGCCCTTCAAAAAAAAAAAAGATCATCTAGTTCCAACCCCCTGCCATGGGCAGGGACACCTTCCACTAGACCAGGTTGCTCCAAGCCTCATCCAGCCTGGCCTTGAAGACATGATCCATACAATGTCCCCATACACTATATTCCTTGGCTGAGCTGCTGGGAAATGCTCCCTGTTCCCCCCACACTCCCCCTTCCCACAGCAGATCACCACTGGGCTGAGCTGGCCAGGAGCAGCTGGATGTGTTTTTTATCACGTCTGAGCTGGCTGGGTATAATTCACACACCCCCACCCCATCCCCCCCAGGCTGGGTTCCTCGGCCAAGCAGGCCCAGGGCCAGTCGCTACAGCCAGCAGATGGTTAAACGCGGCGCCTGGCCGTGTGCTGTTTGTGACACCCTGGGAATGTTTCCTGGCGGTGCCAAGGCTGGCGCTGGCCTTCGGGAGGGACGAGGTAAGCAAAAAACCTGGGGCTGACCAAGGGTCTGGACCCTGCCTGGGAGGTGCGTTTGACCCCCATCGTGGTCATCGGAGGGGCCTTGCAGCACGCTCGTTTCTTGCTGTACAGATTTTTGCTGACCCGTGCAGGAAAGCTTCGGATGGCAAAAATAACAGGATGCAAAGCTCAGCTGGCCTGGGGCCTTGGGCACATGTATATGTGCTCTCTATAAATCCTTGGATTCATATCGTAATTCCTGATTTCCGCATGTAGATCTCTTTCCAGTTAATCCCAAGGTGGGTTAATTGTCAAAATTAGGGGTCTCTGTAAGCTGCAGCAGACATGTCTAACGCTGCGGTTGCGACTCTGCAGGCACCGGCCTGAACACTGGGTTATCTGTTGGGTTTTGTGAGCCCTGGTTTGGCATTTTGGACGGTGCCCCGTAGTTGTCGTCCAGCATTTATGAAATGGTTGTCTGCAGCCTGTTTTACAGGAAATAACAGAAATTCAGTGGTTTGGCCAGGACTGCATGGAAAGGTATGAGTGGGGCCAAGAATTAAGGTTTTTTTTCCATGCTTGGTTGGTTAGCTAATGTAGAAATTAAGGAGAAAAAATAAAGACTAATCAATAAATCACCTTGAAACCTGTTAGCAGTGTCAGTATGTGCTGTGCTTGCCTTGATTTTCCTGCAGCTATCTTTCTTGTCTGTCTCTTCCGTTCTTTTAATCCTTGCATTGCAGCTTGGATCAGGAAGGCTCCTTACCCTCAGGGTACAGAAACTTCTGCCTGGCATCCTAAAAACGCTATTGCCGGATATTTGCAACCTACACTGTGCTGGGATTGCAGTTGCAGGACAGCTGGCTGCGTGGTGGATCTGAAGAAACTCCTTTTCAAAGCACAGTAGTTCTATTAAAGGGTTTAGGGACAAAACAGGGAAATGCGAAATAGGCAGAGCAGCAAGCTTAACGAGGGAATTCGTTTCACTGGATCACATCAAAGAAGGGGTTTCATTGATGTTAACCCCATAGGGGGTTAAACTGAGCCCCTGTGGCTACAGACTGCTTAATATTTGCCTCTGTGCTTGCTGGCTGAAGGAGCTGGTGTAGGATTCAAGCGTTAAAACGACCACGCTGTGCTAAGAAATGCAGCGTTCCCGGGGTCTGCTCCTGAGCACGGCATCCTATGCCGTATCCCGGTCCATTCCCCTGCCACAACTTTGTTTGCAGCTTCTTTGGAGTGAAATCCCCTTGTCTGATGGCTGAGGAAGCATTTCACATCCCTGCTCCTAGGAGAGTTTCCATGCACCCAACAAGGACTGCATCCAACAAGGAAAATGGAGATTCTGGATGAGTGCTTGGAGCAATGCTCCCCACACTCATGCACAGGGAGTTGAGCTAAAATGTTTGCTTTCTTCCTGCTTATTTTTTTTGGCCCCTAAACCGCGTGTTTTGCTGGCCAGGGCTATGTCCGGCCCGTCGCTCCATGGTTAGGGCGTTTTCTTTGTAGGTGAGAGGCTCAAAACTGACAGCTGAGCCAACATAATTCGTGGTGGTGGAGAGGAAAAGGATGCTCCTGCCTCCCTCTGCTGCCAGCCTTGCGATCCTGCCTGTCCCTTGGACCCTTCAGGATCAACTCCTGCAGGTTCAGCTGCTTTGTCAAGACCAGCCTTGTGCTGGCTGAGGGTGAATGTAGTGGCAAGGAGAAAAGAGACCTCACTGGGGTAGAACTGTGCCTAGGACAGAGCTGAAGCTTGAGTCCTGAGATAGAACTGGGCTTGGAAGTGGGTGCTTCCAATTCATAGAATCCCAGAATGGTTTGGGTTGGAAAGGACCTTGAAGATCATCTAGTCCCACCCCCCCTGCCATGGGCAGGGACACCTTCCACTAGACCAGGTTGCTCCAAGCCTCATCCAGCCTGACCTTGGACACTTCCAGGGATGGGGCATCCACAGCTTCTTTGGGCAACCTGTTCCAGTGCTTCAGCACCCTCATCATAAAAATTTCTCCCCTTGGTTTGCCCAAATTGCCACAGAACTGAATTCAGTGTATGCTGGAAGCTGGGGATGCAGTTAAGGTTTGGGTGCAGAAGTGGGGTTAAACAAGTGTTTTAACTATGCTGGGCTCTGGAGTTATTGCTGAAACAGTGTAGATGCAAGAGGTGCTTCTGGGATGGCATTTCAGGTTCTGCTCTGCCCCTCTTGGTTGCTGCAGTGGAAGATGCTGCTGAAGGGGGGGTGGGAGTCCTGGGCACTTGGTCGTGACGGATGAACCTGTGAAGTCTGGTTGAAATGGAAAAAATCAGTTGTGCAAAGGCACGGGAGAGCATAAGAGAGCTGCTTGTGAGCACTCAGATGTGTGACTTGACTGAGGTATTAAATACTCTGCAATCAAGGAAAAAATGCCAAATTTAACAGTATTGGCTCTAAGAACCAGTTTTCCCTGGTTGCTTAATCACCGCTTGTGCGTTGTCATCTCAGGAGAGCAACGCTTTCACCTAGTAATTAGCATTTAAGCCGTGAAAGCTAGTTTCCATTTGTTAAACAATTAATAAATGCATCATCTCCTTGAAGTTTCTCTGTGCTCGCTTAGAGCTAGGGGATTATTTTATTTAAATCCTGGAGTTGGAGCTGGTATGTCTCGCCATCGGGGCTTCTTGTTTCAGCGGCACAAATGGGGAGCCTGGGTGGGGAAGCAGCAATCCAGGAGCTTGTTGCTGGGACATCTCTGCTGGCTCCAGTGTCTTGTGCATGGAGTTATAAAGCCCAGGGCAGTTTTTAGCTCTATCTGCCAGCCCTAATGTTCCTGTTGCACAGTAAGGGACCTCCTTATTCCCCTCCCTGACAGCATAGAAGAGTGCTGGGTGCAGAGAAGGGGAAGTGGCAGGAAAAGTACACCTGCTTTTTTCCCCTTCCTTATTTTGCGTTTGCTTTTTCCGATAAGCTGACCTCGGGCTCTGTCCTCTGGGTCCTAGCGAGCGCTGGGCTTGCATGCAGGGTTGGATCTCGCAGTGTCCTGCCCAGGGAGATTTTAGAGGCCCATCGCTTCTTTGATACACATCTTCAGAACGCCAAAAGCTATGCCGTAGTTCTCTGCACAAAGGGAAAACCTGGGTTTCCTAAGCCAGCCCATGTGTGCCGCAGCTTTGGTGGCAGTCAGCCCGTGGGGAGTTTGTGTGGAGGCACCTCTGTTGCTGAGAGTGGAGGATCAAGGTGATTGTGAGGAAGTATGTAGGAAGCGTTGCTTTTGGTGCTTTGCATCCCTAACCTGCTCCTCTGAGGCTGGGATTTGAGCAGCATGTTTCTAATGCATTTATTTTACATTCCTACGCTTCAGGGGACAGCTGCTGTCCCTAGACGAGGGCTGGGGAAGCTGACACCCTGGACCTAGTTGAAGGTGTGCCTGCTCATTGCAGGGGAGTTGGACTAGATGGCCTTTGATATCCCTTCCAACTCAAACCATCCTGTGATTTGATGGAAAAGGGATTGGATGTGGGGATCCCTAGACCAAAGCCAGTTTCCAAGCTGTAGGAGATGCTGGGATACAACGATGGGGGCTGGGAAGGTTTTCGCATCACCACTTTCCATTCTGCTTGGTGCCTGAAGTACCATGTTGCTTGAAACGTGAAAGCAAATTGTGCTGGAAGTCCCTGTGTCTTTCAAAGGCATCACTGACCTGGCCATGACAGTGTGTGTCGTGTAGAGCTGGAATTGCCTCTGTGGAAGGCTGTCTGGTTAATCAAAACTCTTTGTCCTGCCTTACAGGCAATCCCAAGTAAAGGATGACTCTTTTTCTCCCCCCTACAGACACGCCGTCTGTATATTCTACCTAGTTCTCCGTGCCCTGGACACTATAGAGGATGACATGACCATCAGCTTAGATGTAAAGGTCCCAATGCTGCACGAGTTTCACTCCTATCTCTACCAGCCGGAATGGAAATACATGGAGAGCAAGGAGAAGGACCGGCAGGTGCTCGAGGACTTCCCAACGGTAAGGCATCCACTTCCGTGCTTCAGCTGCCTTGTGTCACTTTTGGGTCCTTCTCTGTGTTACACCTGAGCTCGTTCAGTCCCTGGTGAGCCCGTAGCTCTTCCAAAGAGCTACGTCACCTGCACGTGGGGCTGGATGCAGGGCTGGAGTGAGAAACTGTGCAACTCTGAGCCAGAGATAACCTGCCTGTGGAAAAGTGCTAGCTTGGAAAAGTGGCTTTTTACCTCCCCTGTTGGACGAGTAGATGGTTGTCTCCTTGCAGGGAGCCATTTGGATTTGTTGCCACACACTGAATTGTGTGGGGTGGGCATCCTGTGACCCCTAACAGGTGGGGAGAGGAGGAAAACTTGTCTGGCATCTGGCTTGTGGCTGGAGCAGCGTTTGCAGCAGTCCTGCAGGATCTGCTCTAGAGCTACCGGAGTCTGTCTGCAGATCTTTGACGTGCATGTAAGATAAAAAGTACCTCGCTGTCAGTCACAGCACTGCCCTAAGTCTTACAGCTTTAAGCATCTCTCTAAAAGGGAGCCTCAGGGTCTGCAGTTCCACTAGCAAGCTAAGCAGTACTGCAGCCTGTTCTCTGACCTGGAGGCCAGTGGGGAAAGCCTGTCCATGTCCAAGCTGTTAAACTCTCTCAGCATCCAGAACAGTGTGGTTGTATCCCAGGCTGTCCTTAAGAAGTGGTTTCTGACCCACCCTACTTCCCAAGCTCTGCCTGGGGGTTGGAAGTACATCGGGGGCCGTGCTGGAGGTATTCAGGATGGTAGGCAGCAGGACGAAACCCAGTGTGGTTGTATCCCAGGCTGTCCTTAAGAAGTGGTTTCTGACCCACCCTACTTCCCAAGCTCTGCCTGGGAGTCGGAAGTACATCGGGGGCCACGCTAATGGGGTAGCTATGTGGGCCACTGAGTCCGTGCTCGATGTTTCAGTTACTGGTGTAGGTGTAGCTGTAGGACCTTGACTCTGTGCTGCAGGTACTCAGGATGGCAGGCAGCAGGCTGAAACCATGCTTGTCCTGGGATCCTGCTGGATTTCAACCCTGGCAGGAGCAGTGGGATGATGGAGCTTTGCCCTGCTGAGATTCAGCATCTCCCAGCACCGAAGGAGAGCACTGTCAGCCTAGAGAGCGTCCATCAAGCTGACAGCCGAAAGAGATGCTGTGCCTGGAAGGCAAGACTGGGCTCTGCCGAGTAGGGATACAGGTTTTGTTAAGGGCACAAGGATCGGCCCTTGGTGGATGCTGCAGTTTTGCTGTTGTTCATGTTGATCAAGAATACCTGGGTTTATTTTTTAGGGCTTTTTTTAAGCTCTGTTTTCTAAAAAGTATAATAGTTACAGTGAAGAGCACTTCATTTTCCAAAGAAGTTCTACTTTGTTCAGCTTTTTACCATTTTTAATTTATTCTACCCTTTTCTGGCCTTCCCCAGCAGTGAGAAAGGGATGATTGTTTGGAAAATCGAGGTGTATAGGACATTCTGATGCTCATCCTGGGCTAGCAGTGGCTGTGCCCTGTCGGGGAGGGGTGTGTGCTATAGGAGGTGGCTGTGTCAGGGGCATCCTGATGTGTAGTGATGGAGACGTGGGAGGTATGCCAATGGCTTGGTGTTTTAGAAAAGCTTTTGGCAAGGTATTTGTGGGACTACATTGTTCTCTCTTGCTTTGTGTTGCTCGGGCAGTCTGAGCTCATATTCAGGTGTGATTCGGATAATATCTGGTAGAGGTGTGCTTGCAGACTGTGCTTCTCTGTAGTGGGTTTAAGCTGTTGAGGCTGAAGCAGAGTCAATACGCTTATTTGCCAGACAGACTGAGACACAGGGGAGGGAGGAGAGCCTGGATCTGTGGTGGTATCCATGTCCAAGCTGTAGCTGTTCAGACTGCTCCCCTCACCAGACACAGTTACCCACTGATATGAGAGCGCTCAGCACAATAAAACACGATGCTCCACTGTTTTGGGAAGGGGAGGGCATGCTCTTGATTAAATTTGAGAGTGACTGAGTCATTGAATCTTGTTATTGGAGATGCAGAAGAAGGATTTTATGCTTTCTCCATTGCTTGATGCCTTTCCAGTTGTGAAAAATGTGCCCTGTGGAGGCAGAGCTGGAGAGGGCTCAGCAGAACGAGGCACCAGAAACCTCCCCTGCCTTTTCCCATGGCTGGCGTGATGGGGTGTTCTCGCAAATTACACAAAAAAACCCAAAAAACCAAAACAATCAAAAAAACCCACCCAAAAAACCCAACTTTGTGCACCAAGTGTAGCTAGTTTTGTCCTGCAGCTCCCAGATGATACTAATCCAAGGCCACAGAGCCTTCCCAAAGATATTGCTGTGTCTGATCTACTGCCAGAGACGGTTCCTTTTAGACTGAGAACAGTCTGAGCCTGTGTTTTAAGGGCCTTGAAACAACTCTGTCTGTGGGAGTTGTGCTGGATCTCCAGCCAGGGTGGGATAAGAGCCTGGTAAACAGTCTTTCTCTGATTTCTTAATAAATGTTGAGCTGTGCTACTTTTTCCTAACACTTTCTGGTTTTGTGTTGCAGATCTCCATGGAGTTCAGGAACCTGTCAAAGGTCTACCAGGATGTGATTTCGGATATTTGCCACAAGATGGGTGTCGGGATGGCGGAGTTCTTGGAGAAGAAGGTGGACTCTCAGCATGAATGGGATAAGGTTAGTTATCCTGGACAAAGGATTGGACTGAATGTGAGTAGGTCTACCTTGTCTCTGTGGAAAGAGGAGACAGCATCCCTGTGGGAAGAGGACTCAGCTGGATGAGGGAGGCTCTGTGGGCTTGAGAAGGCTTTGAGAGACTGCTGGTCCTGTGGGTAACGGAAGGATGGTGTGGGTTGTTGCTGCTGCCCACCAGCACGTGTTTTGGGTGGCCATCATATCAGCTGTTCCCCTGCGGGAGCTTCATTTGGAGGCAGAGTGTCACCTTGGTGGAACATCCTCGGTGAGGTGTTTGCTGGGCATGGGAAAGCTGAGATGTGCCAGGAATAAATGTACTGTCAATTAACTTGTGAGCATCGTGTTTGTAAAACTCCCCATTGCAAATACAACAAATACAGCAAATATAGCTCTTGGTAACTGCTCCTTTCGTCTTTTTTCTGCCTGTTCACCTCTCGGTGCCTTGCAGTATTGTCACTACGTCGCTGGGCTGGTGGGGATTGGCCTTTCCCGTCTCTTCTCTGCATCAGAGCTAGAAGATCCTATTGTCGGGCAGGACACGGAGCTGGCAAACTCCATGGGCCTCTTCCTGCAGAAAACCAACATCATCCGTGACTATCTGGAGGACCAGCTGGAGGGAAGGGAGTTCTGGCCCAGAGAGGTGAGGGAAGACATTGCCTTGAGGTGGTGTCTCTCTGGGAAGTGTACTAAGACTGGAGGTACTGTTGTTGCTGCTCTGATACAGTGAGTTACATCCTTTCCTGAGAAGGGTTTGAAATCCCCAAATCCAGGGTTTTTCCCACCGTTGTTTGGTGTCCCTTGACAGTCTTGCAGGCTTCTGTTCAAGAGCTGCAATGGATGTAGCCCGCCAGCCGTGCTTCCCAGGATGCCTGTCGGGAATGCATTGCAGGGTGCTCAGCTAAAACTCATGGTCTCTCACGTCCCTTTAAATCAAAGTTAACAGGAGAGACTTGGTGGTCTGCTTTCATTTTGTTAAGACCCTGCAGTAAAGCTGTGCTGCCTAACCCCACTAGTGCTGGTTGTACATCTTCCTGCTAATAACAGTTCTTCTAATGACAGCTGGCTGCCAAGTTCCACATCTACCTACCGCTGTCTGGGTACGGATTTGGGGACGAGGTGATGTCTCCCCACACTGCCAAGAATTTGTTGGGCAGCTTTTTCCCCTCTCTGTTATGTTGGCTCTAGGAATGAGGGAGGATAAGACTGGGTGAGATCTCAAGAGGGTACTTAGATTGTTCCCAAAGGCAGAATCAGCTCTGCCTATGCCTGATAGATGCTTGTCTGATCTTCTTGAGGCCCTCCAAGAATTTGTCTCTCCCTTTTCCGTGAAGCTTATCTGTCTCACAGAGCATTTCTTCATGTGTGATGCATCTTTTCCTTGCCCTGCCTAGAGAAGATGAGGAGTTGAGTTGCATCCTTCCTTACAATCCCTTTGTATATACAAAGGCCATCATCGTGGCTCCACAGCCAGCCCTTCCTTCTTTTCTTTAGCCTAGTAAGCCCCAATCCTTCAAGGCTTTTGTGGGTCTCTGGTGGTTCTTGTTGCTGTCCCAGACCTCGGACTGTTACAGACATCTCTCTTACAGCACGAACGTACCCTCCAACTTCTGAGTCCTTATCTTGGTGTTTAGGTTTGGAGCAGATACGCAAAGAAGCTCTCAGATCTTGCCAAACCGGAGAATATCGATATGGCTGTCCAGTGTCTGAACGAGCTCATCACAAACGCCCTCCACCACGTCCCTGATGTCCTCACATACTTGTCCCGCCTGAAAAACCAAACTGTCTTCAACTTCTGCGCTATCCCACAGGTGGGTTACGTTTTCAAGTGGTTCTCTGTCATCTGCTGCCCAGCGGATGAGAAGCTGGAGGTGAAGGTTACGTGTCATGTCGGTATTAGTCTGTTTTATTCTCAGCCTCTTCTATCTCTTCTTTCCTGGTACCTGCTGTTTCTGTTGTCGGTGAGATTGTGGCTCTGCTCCAGAGGGTCTTGCCGTGGATTTCACTAGGACCAAGGCTGCTTGGCAAGCTCCTTTCAGTGTGGTAAGGCCCTTGGTGTTTCTCCTTAGGTGATGGCCATCGCCACGTTGGCTGCCTGCTATAACAACAAGCAGGTGTTCAGGGGTGTCGTGAAGATCCGGAAGGGACAGGCTGTCACTCTCATGATGGATGCCACAAACATACAAGCTGTCAAAGCCATCATGTACCAGTATGTGGAAGAGGTAGGTTGAGCAACTCAGGAGTAATTTCTGGCTGTTTCTATCCTCATTCCTGGTGTGGAACTGGGAAAATATGTTAATCCTTTCCTTACATTGTAATTCGGTGGTGGCAGGGCCCCATGACCCTGACGTGGCTTTTGCCTGGACCAAACTGGGTGCTTGATCTGTTCCCCTGAAGGTACCGTTGGTCCGTGCCTGTGTTGAGAGGCAGAGAGCAAGGCCCTGTTGTCCTCCTGGTGCAGAATGAGTCAGCTGTCACAGCGCAGGGCTGAGCAGGCTCAGGGGACCTTTCCCACAACAGGTTGCATCATCTCCCCATGGACTGCCCCAGTGAGCTGTTGTGTTTTCTCCCTGTCCGCAGTTGCAGTTGGCAACATGACGTGGTGCTCTGTGACCAACAGTAAATAAGGGCAGCTCTTCACAGGTGGTTAAAGCAGTGGGAGTCCTGACATCAGGGTACTGCGGAGGTTAAAAGTTCATGTGGAGGAACATCTGATGGTTAGACACATGCACACAAGCACTGGAACAGGTTGCCCAGGGAAACTGTGGATGCCCCATCCCTGGAAGTGTTCAAGGCCAGGCTGGATGAGGCTTGGAGCAACCTGGTCTAGTGGAAGGTGTCTCTGCCCATGGCAGGGGGGTTGGAACTGGATGGTCTTTAAGGTCCCTTCCAACCCAAAATATTCTGTGATTCTATGGGGGAAACCCAACGCCAAAAACCAAATCCAGCGAGGGCTGTTAAATTCAAAGATACTTCTTCTGCACCAGGGACACCCCAAACCATGGGTGATTAGAGCTCCCTTTGTGGGCTGGCCAACCCCACAACAAGGGACCGTGACACCTCAGCCCTGAGGATGGTCTCTGCTTGTGCACACCTCTAGGACTCAAAGGCCATGAGGTTTGCAGACCATGCAGAGCAAACCCCAAAGCCTGTGGAGGTTTATCTGATGAAGGTGATCGTTTCCTGGCAGTCACACTAGGGTGTCCTTGCTCGTTTGGAGTGGGCTGCAGCCACCCCGGCAGTGAGTGAGGATTGCCGGGCAAGAACCACCAGGTCCCAGCAACCCTGCTTGTGGTTGAGGGGCCCTGTCTGAGGCCGTGTGGTCCATCTCCCGTCGTGGGGTGCCCTCAAGAGGCTGCTTGGCTTAGTGCACTTCTCAAGGGAGATGGGCCCTGGCCCCATCCAGGCATCCCTTGCAGCTGGTTTTTGCTCCATGGTAGTCCACCGCTGAGGTTGCTCTTGGGGACACAGTGGCCCTTAAGGCTTCCTCTTCCACCCTGCAGTCCCTTTTGTCTCCTCAACCTTGGGTAGGAGCCATAACTCCTCCTTCCTCCCCAGATCTACCAGAAGATCCCAAGCACGGACCCATCATCCAACAAGACGCAGCAGGTCATCGCCTCCATCCGTGCCATGAGCTTGCCCGGCGGCCCCATGGCATCGCGCCACCACTACTCCCCCATCTACCTGTCGTGCGCCATGCTCCTGGCCGCCCTGAGCTGGCAGTACCTCAGCACCATCTCCAAGGCCACCGAGGAGTACGTCCAGGCGGGCGAGAACTGATGGGCAGCGGGTGGGCGGGGGCAGAGAGGTGGTCGGCGTTGGGCAGCGGAGGCAGGAGGCTCCTTGTCCCTTGCCAGTGAGGATGGCCAGGCAGCGGGATGCCAGGGGGCCTGGGACGGGGACAAGGATGGGACGCCGGTGAGCTGCAGCCCCGGGGTGATGGTGCGGTGTTGCCAGGCTCCGCTCCTCACCGCCCTTGCCATCTGCTTGGATGGTTACAAACACTACTCGGAGTCTTACTGTTTGGGGTTGAATATTATTTTTTCCCCCCTTTTTTCCTGTTGGACAGTTTACCTGACTTTTTTTTTTTTTTTTTGTTAGGATGGTTTTAAATAGAAAATGCAGTTGCCTTTTTTTTGAGATTTGAGACACCTTTCCAGCTCAGGCTGAGCAAAACCTTCTGGGGTTTGCCTCCTTTTCTTAGGCAGCCTCGTCCCCACAGGCCTCTGGTGTCTGCTCCGCACTGGAAGGACGCTGCTTCAGTCAGGAGAGGAACATGTTTCTTTACCCAGGGAAAAAGCTCTGGCCACCTTCTCGCCCTCGGCCCAGGCTGGTTGACATCCTGCAAACAGGCAGAGGCAACCTTTGCCTTTCCGTTGTGCTGAAGGAGGCTCCTAGGCTTGAAACAAGCCCTTTTAAGGTTAAATAACATTGGAGGTGGGATGGTCTGTCCACTTTAATGTGCCCTTAGCTGAAAGCCATCTACTGCAGCTCCCTGCCCTCGAGCTGACAGCACCCTGCACTTGGAAAGCTGTGTTTTAGGAGCTGAGGAGGCGGTTCAGAGGAGAGGGAAGCTGCCTGCATGACCCTGAGCTAATAACCCCGTGCTCGACTCCGCTGCGGGCTCTGGGCTCTGCACTTCTTCAGCCCGAGGGGACGGGTGGCTGTGGCAGAGCAGCAGCAGCACTGCGGGGCAATAGGGTGAGGGTCTGCACTGTGCTGGCCCTTGTGGGATGCTTTTTGGGGTGCCTTGGTGCATCGGCCATCCTGAAAGGCAGCGATGATGCCTGCCATGGGCTGGGAAGGCTTGAGCCACCAAGGAAATGGCCAGGGCAGGTTTCCCTGGCCCACATGGCTCTGGCTTGGGAGGATGCTTTGGGTTACTGATGTGCAAACTGGAAAAGGCTTCCACTGCTGTTCTGAAACACATCAGGCTGGACTTAACACGTGGGTCACGTTCTTCCTGGGAACAGCGTGGGTAAGAAGAAACAACACTTCAAAGGCAAATGCTGTTTTCCTGGGATGGAAAACACATTGTTGTCGTGGTCACTATCACCCCCAAATGCTGCTTTGCCCTCATGAAGGGGAGGACAGCCTGTGTCCAGGTGGAGGACAGAGCTAAGTCCACCAGGTACGGTTCAGTGGCCTTTGCAAGGTCAAGTCTCTGTGTCCAGACTTACTCAGAGGGAGGACCCCTACTCCACAAGTGTTGATGTAGATAGTTTTAGCTGTTGTTTAAAAAAACTTGCGGTAGCTCTCTTTGTGCAGCTTCCAGTCTTGTTGAAATTAAAGTTTTCTTGGGGAAAACAATGATCTTTTAAGTGTCATTTCTTTTACATTTTAATTCTCCACCGTGCCACAGGTTACCAGCCTTCAGCTCAGGTAAAATGCAGATGCTTTCTCACTGCTTTTAAATTGAAAGTGGGGAGGTTTAGATTAGATATCAGGAAGAAGTTCTTCACGGAGAGGGTGGGGAGCACTGGGACAGGTTGCCCAGAGAAGCTGTGGATGCCCCATCCCTGGAAGTGTTCAAGGCCAGGCTGGATGAGGCTTGGAGCAACCTGGTCTAGTGGAAGGTGTCCCTGCCCATGGCAGGGGGTGGCACTGGGTGGGCTTTAAGGTCCCTTCCAACCCAAACCATTGCTGGGATTCTATGATTCTGTGGCTTCCACAGTGCACAGAACAACAGGGGGATGGTTTGGGGTGGTTTGAGCTCAAGGAGAAGCAAGCAACCAAGGGCCAGGAGACAAGACACTGGAGAAACCATTTATTGGCACAGTTGTTCCAATCGCATACAGCACAGCTCTGTCTCAGTGGTGTCAGAGTAGGCAGAGGTAAGGGGCTATTTTACAGTGCAAGGGAGAGCCTGCTTCACGCACATCAGGCCTGTAGTCTCAGCAATATCTCTTGTGCTTTAAAATTAACAATAAAAAAAGCTCTTTCACTATGTTAGTGTTGGCAAATCACGTGATTCCTCCTACACAGCTATTACACCTCCCCCCAGTAACAAAAATAAGGGGTTTTTTTCTTCTTAATGCCTGTAGCTCAAAAAAAAAGCTTTAGTTGTGTACAAGTTAGCGAGATACCTCCAACCATCTGCATGAGCTCCCTGCAGGACTCTCGAGCAACATCTCTCCTCTCGGCTCAACGTTCAGCACCCGCCCTCCCAAAGCACCACACCAATTTTGGATACAGCCTCCCCTGCACACCCGGAGCTGCCCAGCCCCGGGTGAAAACTGCATTGCTCTTCCCAGCGTGCTCCTAGGTGCCTGCAGGATATTTGATCAAAGGCTCGTGGAGCTCCAGCCAGGCCCTTCCCCATGATCAATAACCCCAGGCTACAGCAGAAAAAAAAGCAAATAAACAGCAGAGGAACAAGTGGTTTAAAAAGCAGCCGAGTGGATGGAGCAGAGCAAGCGATGCACAAAGGACGTGTTGCAGGCAGGAAGGGGCCTCAACAGAGCTTTGGCCAGAGCCAACCCCACAAGTCTGTCAGTATTTCATCATTAATAGGTCTAAATTTATCCAACTGAAGGCACATGCTAACATACCCTGCTTGTTTCAGGCACTAACAGTCAAACCAACCCAGCCAGGGGTGCACAAATCCCCCCCACCGGTCATGGCTTCCCAGCAGGGTCCACCCCTGCCCCACCAAATCCCTAATCCCAGCACAAAGCTACTGCTTCCCACACTCCCAGTAACAGACTGGGCTGGAAGGGGTCTGGGCTAACCAAATACCACGGTAAAGAGGCCAGCGAGCCCCCCAGCAGTCCTCTGAGCAGGGAATGCCCCACAGCTGCGACCCACCAGGAGCAGAGGGCTTGTGGAGAGCAGTTCCACCCCCAGCTCCACCATAAAATAAAATTAAAAAAACCCAAAAAAAAGATAAAAAGCTTTAATAAAGTAATCTCAACTATAGTCTCTTAGAAGGGGGGGCTCTGCACCCAACCCGCTATCGGTTAAAAGTGTCAGGGACTCAGGATTATTTATGGTTTGATCAAGGTTACACCCTTTTCCAGTACTGCTGCGTGCTGGGGATGCCCGCCACGATCTCGGACTCGATGCCGCAATGGTCCTCTCCTCGGAGGATTTTGAAGAAGCCTGGAAGCACACCAAGAGCAAAAGTCAACCTTCCTACCAAGGGAGAACAGGGAGGGGATAATTCCCTCCAGCAACATCGAGGGGTGCCTCACCATTGTCCCCCCAGTCGGTGTTCCAGGAGTTGGCAGCCAACCAGTACGGAGTGCCGTTTTCCACTCCCCAGCCCAGGATCCGGATGGCGTGGCCTCCCACCTGCTCCCCAGACACGTGCTGGTAGACCCCTGCAAGGCAACGCGCCAACAAGTCAATGGGTGCTGCGTCCCCTCCCGCTTCAGACCCCCGCCAGCTCCTGAGACACCCCGTATCCAAGCCCAGAGACCACCCGAGGCGGCTCTTTTTGGTTAAACCGCAAACCTGAAGGTTAGTGGAGTCTGGAGAAAAGTGATGCTAAGCGTCAGCTGAGCACTCAGGACACCCAGACCCTCAGCAAGGGCACTGCATCCCCACACAGTTCCTAACAGGGATTTGGGACCACACCAGGAGAGCCACCTGCCAGCATTTTACAGCTGGGAACAACAGCTAGGATTTTGGGTAAGTAAGTCTGGGGGGTAACTCTCTGAGCCAGTCCCAAGCACCTATTCCCCTTGCTGTGAACCAAAGGATACAAGAGACTACATCTGCCCATGCTCCTGCAACACCAGCCCTTCAGGTGTGAGCTTGGGATCTCCTTTCAGACTTCAGGAGAGCACAAGGGCCACAAAAGACAGACCCTACGGATGAAGTAGGGAACAGGGCTGCCTACAGCCCCGGCGCTGCTGCTCACCAGACTTGTACATCAGGAAGTCCTCGTAGACAATAAAGGCTCCTTCCACCGGGCCATTCTTGTAGATCTCAGCCATGATTTCCTTCTCACTGTGAGGGACACCGTAGGATGTGATGCCTAGGGAGAAAAAAAAAAAACAGTCACCATTAATACGGCATTGTCAGGCCACACATGTCTAGGGACAGCTGGACAGTGACTGTTTGGCATGCCTGTGCAGGAAGCCTTCTCCACTGAAAGGTTAAATTTGGATATTGGGAAGAAATTCTTCCTGGAGAGGGTGGGGAGGCACTGGGACAGGTTGCCCAGAGAAGCTGTGGATGCCCCATCCCTGGAAGTGTCCAAGGCCAGGCTGGATGAGGCTTGGAGCAACCTGGTCTAGTGGAAGGTGTCCCTGCCCATGGCAGGGCGTGGGACTGGGCCATCTGTAGGGTCCCTCCCAAACCACACCATTCTGTGATTCTAAATTGAAATGCAGCTGCTCCAAAGGCACTGACACGGCCAGGCAGGGAAAGTGGGTTCCAACCACCCCTCTCCCCAAGTCCTGTTCTGTACCCAAAGACCTATTGCAGGCAGCTTCAGTGGGAAGTTTTCCCCACACGCATCCTCATATCCAAAACAAATTACTCAAGGCTAAGACAAATCAAGACACAGCCAGACCTTCCTACAGGTGCAGTGCTGGCTACCACCAAGGAGTAGGAAGGAGGTGGCTTTGACACCAAACTCCCCCAGATTCAGCACCGTGCCCTTCAACCCCGGCACAGGCACCACGAGGACTCGGATCAGTTCCCTCATCTCAGCGGAGTCTCAGCTACAAACTGAGCATCTGCCAGGCTCGCTCCTGGACCACCCATCCCAAGGCCACAGAAAATAACCACCACAAAACAGCTTAGGAAGAGGTCTGACCCCAACAACCCCACCAAGTTCCCCTCAGGAGCAGCTCTGGAGCTGCTGGGCATTGCACAGTGTTAGAGGCCACCTCCCTTACCGTA